GAGCCTACTTTTAAATAGCTATCAGCTATCAGCAATGTCATGCATGGGAAGGGTCAATGCTAAAAACTTGTTTCTTGTGTTCAAATGTGCTTCATGGTTTCATAAGAAAAGTGTATCTGACACTTATGGTTCAACTTTTAATAACTGTTGGAATCATCTGTGCTTTTCTTTACTGGTGAGTTGACTGGTGTTTATGCGCCACACCTATTTCAAATCATTTCGAAACACAAATCACAGATAATGAAGTGTGCTTAAGTGTTACTTTATAGGCTTGAGTAACTTAGACTCGTCTTTATGTCAGTTAATACAGTTAGGTCCATATATTTGGACATTGACACAATTTTCATAATTTTGGCTCTGTATGCCACCAGAATAGAATTTAAATGAAACAATTAAGATGAAGTGCAGACTTTAAGCTTTAATGCCTTTTCAGGCAATGACTGTCTTGAGTCTGGAACTCATGGACATCACCAGAGACTGGGTTTCCTCCTTTGTGATGCTTTGCCAGGCCTTTGCTGCAGCTGACTTCAGTTGTTGTTTGTTTGTGGGTCTTTCTGCCTATAGTTTTGTCTTCAGGAAGTGAAATGCATGCTCAATCGGGTTGAAATCAGGAGATTGACTTGGCCATTGCAGAATATTCCCCTTTTTTTAGCTTTAAAAACTCCTGGGTTGCTTTTGCTGTATGTTTTGGGTAATTGTCTACTTGTATTATGAAGTACTGTCCAATCAACTTTGCTCCATTTGGCTGAATCTGGGCAGACAGTATATCCCTATACACTTCAGAATTCTTCCGGCTGCAAGTAAGAAATGTCTTCTTATTAGAGTTACAGAAATTATTCATTCAAGAGCAGTGAGTGATTTTCTGTTTTTATTTTATTGTTTGGGTCATATTAACAGCGTAGTCAGCAGTATAGGTACTGTATATTACACTGCTGTCACTTAATAGACAGATCTAATATTATATGCATATAAACATTTTCATAATTTCGGCTCTGTATGCCACTAGAACAGGATTAAAAATAAAACAATCAAGATTAAATTGAAGTGCAGACTTTAAGCTTTTATTCAAGGGGTTGAACAAAAATATAACATAAAATGCTTAGGAATTACAACATTTTTTTATACACAGTCCCCCCATTTTCAGGGCCTCAAATGTAATTGGACAAATAAATATAATCATAAATAAAATGTTCATTTTTAATATTTTGTTGAGAATCCTTTTCAGGCAATGACTGTCTTGAGTCTGGAACTCATGGACATCACCAGAGACTGGGTTTCCTCCTTTGTGATGCTTTGCCAGGCCTTTACTGCAGCTGACTTCAGTTGTTTTTTGTTTGTGGGTCTTTCTGCCTTTAGTTTTGTCTTCAGCAAGTGAAATGCATGCTCAATCGGGTTGAGATCAGGAGATGGACTTGGCCACTGCAGAATAATCCACTTTTTTACCTTCAAAAACTCCTGTGTTGCTTTTGCTGTGTGTTTTGGGTCATTGTCCATTTCCATTTGTCCAAGTGGCGCCCAATCAACTTTGCTGCATTTGACTGAATCTCTGGGCAGAGAGTATATCTCTTCAGAATTCTTCCGGCTGCTTCTGTCCTCTGTCACGTCATCACTAAACACCAGTCACCCAGTGCCACTGGAAGCCATGCATGCTCATGCCATCACACCACTCCACCATGTTTCACAGATGATGTTGTATGCTTAGGATCATGAACTGTTCCAAGCCTTCTCCATATTTTTTTTTTCTTCCTGTCATTCTGGTACAGGTTGATTTTAATTTCAGCCGTCCAAAGAATGCTTTTCCAGAAGTGGTCTGGCTTTTTTAGATGTTTTTTTGGCAACGTCTAATCAGGCCTTGTTTGCACCTTGTGGTGAACCCTCTGTATTTGCTCTTGATTGAAGTCTTCTCTTGATGGTAGACTTTGACAGTGACACACCTACCTCCTGGAGAGTGATCTTCTCTTGGCTGGATGTTGTGAAAGGGTTTTTCTTTACCATGGAGAGGATCCTCCGATCATCCACCACTGTTGTCCCCTGCGGACGTCCAGGCATTTTTATGTTGCTGAGTTCACCAGTGCATTCTTTTTTTCTCAGAATGTACCAAACTGTTGATTTGGCCACTCCTACTGTTCCTGCTATCTCTCTGATTGATTTGTTTTGTTTTTGAAGTCTAACAATTGACTGTTTAACTTATATGGAGAGCTCCTTTGACCGCATGATGTGGGTTCACAGCAACAGCTTCCAAATGCAAATGGCACACTTAGAATCAACTCCAACTCCAGTAAAAGTACCTGCTTAGTTGATGTAGAAATAATGAAGGAATAGCCCACATCTGTCCATGAAACAGCTTTTGAGTCAACTGTCCAGTTACTTATGGTCCCTTGAAAAAGGGGGAGGTACATATTAAAGAGCTGTAATTCCTTAACCTTTCTTCCAATTGTAATGATAATACCCTCAAATTCAAGCTCAAAGTGTGCACTTTAAGCCCATATTTACTTTTGAAAACATAAAAAGTATTATAAAATATTATACCATCAAACTTTTGAACAGTAATGTGTATAGCATATTAACGTTGACATGCCATTTTCTTATAGGGAGACACTCAAGGACTGGGTGAGAGACACATACTGGTTTACCTACACTATGATGTGAGCACTTCTCCTTTGGATGCAGTACATGCATGTTTTAATATGCATGTACTGCATCCAAACATGTTACACTGACTTCTTGTGTTTGTTCAAAATTCACAAGGCTCATCTGTTGTGGTGACATACGTCGCAAAGTTCCCTTAAACTTCATCTTCCTAGCGCTATTTGTAAGTAAAACACAGAGCCGCTCTAGTATTTAATTGTGCTAAGCATTAAATGTGATCATTTTGTAAATGCTAAGTGCTGTTTTCCCACACAGACAATCACAGAAGGCTTTCTCCTTGGATCAGCGGTAGTGTGAGTAAAAAGCATCATTAAAATGCATTTCAGTTACTCAAAAATTTGCTCTTCAATTATTCAAAAACTTTAGTTACACAGCCAGTGTTATAGTAAGGAATTGTTATTACTATTCAGGTACTATTCAGCAGAGGCAGTGCTCTGGGCAGTGGGTGCAACTGCTCTGGTGTCTCTTGCAATGAGTTTGTTTCCACTGCAGTCGAAAGTAAGTTATAAAATTGGCTGTGTACTGTATCAACAAAAAAATTGAGTTATAAAGTTAAAAAAAAAACATACCTATGGTTGTTTTTAGTGGGACTTCACAGCTCTGTCAGGGAGCATATGGGTATTATGCTGGACGCTGTTTTCATTTGCATTACTCTGTGCAATTCTGAGATCACAGGTAAATCATCAACTAATATGTTATCCTCTTACCAAAGATGTTTACTTGTTCATATTAATTCATGCTGATTGTTATGTTTCAAAATATTTGTACATCCTTTACGCATCACTGGGAACTTTGATCTTCTCTGTGGTAAGAACACATCTTTCTTAGTCATGTTTTATCCAGTGTAGCTTTGTCGAAATGTATATGCAATCCTTATCAGGGCTCCCTGATATACTGTAGTACTTATACTATTAGGTTGGCGCAGTATTAATTTGGTCTGCCAGCAATCTTTTATTGTGCTTGCTTAATAGTACCCATTTACTGTTCTTATCTTGCTGTCTCTCCGTTTCTTTTTGCATTCTTAGTACCTGGTGATGGACACAGAGCTCATACTGGGTGGAAAGCATAAATACAGCATCAGTCCAGAAGAGTACATCTTTGCTACTCTGAACTTGTACCTTGATATTATCACAATTTTCTTATTATTGCTTCAATTATTTGGATTTTGTCGTTGATGTGGTTTATGAACATCATGATTGCTGCTCCACTCAACACCTCTCTCATGTAGACTATTAGGGTTTTGAGACACATTTTTACTCTATTTTTTAAACATAGCTTGATTGTGTCTATAACATATTGGAAGTTAAACTGAATTTTGGTTAATGGTACAAAAGCCTAAATCAGATAAAAACAACTATCAGGTAAATAGGTAACACACTGAAAAAAAAAATGGTGGTGAAACAATTTTCACTCAAAATTTGCTATTAAATTTCACAGATAATTACAAAGAAACAGCAACTCACAAATTGAATTAAACATGAATTTTAAAGTAGAACATATTTGTAAAACATACTTAAATATTTTTTATCAGTGCGGTTTAATAGTAAAATAGCTATTACATTAAGTAAAATTGCTATTAAATAGATATATAGATAAGTAAATAAAGGACAATGTCATATATATGGGATATGAATATGCAATAAACTCTGGGTTTTTGAGACCACCATTTTTCCCTCCATTATTTAATTTAAAACAACTCCATTGTGTCTGTAAGAGGTTGTAATAAATGTTCACTGTCATGTCACTGTACTTTAAGTTAAAGTATCTACTGTCATCCATTTGCTATGATTTTGAATCATTTGAGAACAACCACTAAAAACAACAACAATCTAGACAATTTACCTAACAGTGCCAGTTTTCAGTAGGTAAGAGTGGGTTAAGTTGTGCCACTTTTACTTAAAAAAAGAAAAGAATATTCCTATATATATAATATTTATTATAATTTATTATATATAGGCCTATTATATTTCAGTCTGCTATCAACTTAAGAAAAAAACATCTATGAAATATAACTGTAGTAGATATACAGGATAAAAAGTGGTCCAGTAACATCATATTAGCATACAAAACGTCCTATTTTTATATGATGTATATTATGAGACCATTCAAATATATGGTCACATGACAAATAATAACGCACCTTATGGTAAGGAGGTGACATCTTACCCCGCTCTCCATTAAGTTGTGTAAAGTGATGAGAAATAAAACATGGATGGATCTTTCTTGAACCCCAACGATTGCAAACTTAACCACAGAGAAACACTTCTGGGCAGCTGAAGAGGTAAGAAGAGTAAAGCTTTTGTTGTGCTGATATCTTGTATTACTTTTATTATGCATTATACAATGTTGCCGGAAGTTGGACACCGAAATCGACACCGACTTCGTCATCACAAAACGAAAGTGTCATGGAGGAATTGGACGAAAACGCTCGTGATAAGGAAAAATCGTTGGCAAAAAACAGTAAAACTGAGGACGGTGAAAACATGAAAACACAGATTCATAAGCCCTGTTCCCAGGGCAAGCAAGACACATCCACCGCTGTTACCACCACGGAGTACTGCGAAAAATTACAGGAGTGGATGTGGCAGTACTACTACAGCTATATGAACTGGCAGAGCTGGATATCCGTGTCTGCGTTTTCCTTCCCACCGTGTTTCCCAACACAAGGAACAAATGAAACGTCCGGGGCGGCGACATGGGGTGCAGATATGTCTAATGGAGACCTTCGCAATTGGTTTAGCAGCCCGTTTGGTTTTCCTGCTGCAGGACAGAGTCCTCGAGCTCCGGCCACAGCAGCCGCGCAGCTGCCACAACAACAACAGCAGCAGCAGCCTAATGGAAACGCTCAACAGCCAGGTAATAATATCCAATAAATAACTGTATCTGTATTGATCATTACTAGCGGTGAATATGACCGCTCAAATGACAGATGACTGTGTGAACCGGCTTCCTCGACTTTTAGTTTGCATAACAATTAGTGTAATATAATTTCGTTATACTCATTATCTGCATCATGTTAATACCTGGGTCTTTCTCATTATAAAGTAAGTATTTCCAGAAATATGCTTGTCACGCTCAGGCATCTAACTTCATTATTATGGCTTTATTATTATGTAAACATTAACAGGATGTTTAACAGCATAGAAAGTTAGCTGAAGTTGTTCAGTGAGGCATTGATGGTTACACGAAGTTGATAGATGTATAACCATCTTTTGAAAAATGCTGATTAGTTTATCTAACAGGATGGAATATTTTATAGTGATATAAACCAATACAAACCAAAAACCTCGCAATTTTTGTTCGTTAAATGTTTATTATAAAAGACAAACCAGATAGAAAGTGAAAGTGAAATAAACAGGGAAAACCTGAAATCGATTAACAAATACAACACTCACATGAAAACATGTTTGAGACTTTGTAATATGAGAAAGAGGAGATGAAGAAACACCATTCCTTATAATTGCCAATTGTATTTTAGAATGATCACTTGATTGTGAAATGAATATTATTCCCATTATTTTATCCTATAAACACATATATGACATATAAGACATATATTTAATGACAAGAATGATCCAATTTACACTAACAGTTCATGTCTATAATGTGTTTCACATAGGTAGGGAATATTCTATTCCCTCTCCTCTCCAACGGTTCTTGGCAGAAATGGTGGATTTCTTTATTCTTTTTTTCATTAAAGCTACAATTATCCTCAGTATTGTCCATTTGAGTGGAATGAAGTAAGTCTGAAATTTCATTGTGTATATTTCCTAACATATTGCTCATGTTGTATTTCATTAAAGTCATTCATTCATCTCTTTGTCAATTTTAGGGACATCTCAAAGTTTGCCATGCACTTCGTTGTAGAGGAGATTGATGAGGACACATCAATTGAGGAACTGCAGAAGATGATGCTTGTGGCTCTAGTGTACAGGATATTAGTTTGCTTTTATGAGGTAAGTTCAAACAACTGATTTAATCTGCTGAAATAATTCATGAAGACCTGAATAACTGTTTTTGATTGATTTCAGATCATGTGTATTTGGGGAGCTGGTGGGGCTACACCAGGGAAGTTTCTCATTGGCTTACGAGTGGTCACATGTGACAGCTCCGTCCTGGTTCAACCAAACCGCATTCTTGTGGTTCCAGCGACTAACGTCACGCTTTCTGCGTCAGTGTTGCTGTTAACTCTTTGTTTTATTTATTAAAAATTTGATATTTTTTCCAAAATTGAATTTTGAAACTTCTTCTATTATGATTTTCTTGTAGGTCGACAGTGAGAGCGTTAAACAAGAACTTCTCCATCGCTTTCTTCTTTCCGGCATTCATCACGCTTCTTTTCTTTCAGCACAACAGGACTGTGTATGATATTGTGGCTGGCACCATTGTGGTCAAGAGAAACAGGCTTAGATGACTGTCACTGAGGTCGATACCAACCTGAAATTGTAATGCAAAAACAAGCTCATAGACAAATGAGAGCGAACCAGCTGCAGTGACACATGCTGAACTGAACTAAAGCTATTGGCCTCTCGAAGAACTGTCACTTTAACAGCTGAACAGTGTATTTACAGTATTTCTCACCCATCTTCTTTGGACACCTAGTCTCATAAGCATGAACTGCTTTCTCAGAAGTATTTTTAATCATCTGTGGTGACATATTTGAATATTTTTCTTGTGCCAAAATAAGATAATTTATAAATTAGCTGCTTCACGATACTTGAACTTCCTCTGGTACATGCATTTCATCTCTATCTCTCTGTTTGTTAATGTATGTGTATTATTGATCTGAATATTTACTAAGAATATTATTTGACTAATGGAATTTGAGCAGGAATTAACATTTCTCCAAATGCAATATAGTTTGGTTATATATCCTAATCTACTGACTGGATTTGTATTTCAGATGAATGTTTTGTACCTAATTATTCATCCCATTTTATGTCCTTTAAAATCGTTAAAAACTTATTTTTAGCTGTTTTGCATACTGTAATTTTCACTGCATGCCTTTTTCAGCTCTGTGTTCTGCACTATTCTAAGCTGCTGAGTTGAGCAGTTCAACTTTAAGTTGCCTCATTCTTTTTCAGTTTGTTTTTTCTTTTGGATTGTTTAGGTATGGCCAAATCATAAATAATTCAATTATGTCCCAGAGAAAGCCTTCTGTGTTGTCTCTGTTTATAGATTGACCGTTTATACCAATAACAATCCTTTGAATAGACATGTTTAAGCAGGGATTTACAGCACATGAAAAAGGGTTTCATTTTTTGAAACTGTGTTTACATATGCAGTAGGCTGCATTAGGTTCATTTCCAAATAGCTGTAAGAGTCAGCATGTGACAAGAGTCAGAATGTGGACAAAACTGTGTCAGCAAATATTTAGAAGTCTCTTGAAACACTTTCAACAATTTTTTATAGGACTGGACAGTAATACACTTCTAAATGATGCTGATACATGTAAAGAATGATGTTCTACTAAACATTTTGAAATAAATACTTGTAAAACCTAACCAATATGGTACTGATATATTGTGTATCACAATTTTTTTAATGGAAAGACTGCTAAATTTTTCAGTCTGCTATTAAATTACATTAATTGAAGAAGAGTAGTAAGCATTTGGATTGTACTGGTCACGGACAAGTAATGTGTATAAAAAAAGAAGAGGACAGTCTTACATTGAGGAACGTGTTTGTGGCATCTGGCACTCCTAACAGGTGTTCTCATCAGTTGACATGAGTCACCAGTAGATGGCGCGAGAGCGCTGATTTGCAATGTAAACTGCCTGTGTATATTGAATGTGTCAAACTGAAGTAATCACTCATGACTCATGGTGTGTATATTTAAAGACAAAATGTTTATAAAACGGGTAGTTCCAGTCATGGTTTCTGGTTATTAACAACAGCTACGAAGTGTGCACAATATAACTGCACGGATTCCATAACGTATCGTTATTTTTAATGCATCGCGACGTTCTATTAGGCTATATTAGGAAGTATATCTTCTAGAATTCTAGAGTAGTTCTACCCACACTGAAAATTTTGCCATCATTAAATTTTATAATCCTCCACGTCGTTTCAAACATGTATGACTTTTCTCAATCAATGGTAACCAAAACTGTTTGGTTACCAGCAGTCTTCAGAATATCTATTTATGTGTTCCACAGAACATACAGGTTTGGAACGACATGAGGGTGAGTAAACGATGACGGAATTTTTGGTGAACTATCCCTTTAATGGATTTGCATAATAAAATAGCGTTTTCGTGATGGGTTGACAGAAAATTCGATATGGACCACCAGAAAACACTTTTTGTCCAACCCGTGAAAACCAATGGTTAATTACAGCAGTGTTGGAATATACATAATAGGTATAAAGTCTGTTGTGTATCATTGTTTAAACTGGCCTTTCTTTCTTCATTTCCACTGAAAGTTTTTTGCAGGGCATATGATTTCTTTGCAAGAACATAATGAAGGGTTGACTGTGTTACTGTAGGCCCTGCAGATGGCTTTCTCCAACACAGACCTTCATCGCTCACTCAGATATTTTCCTTTTCTGTCTATCACTTTGACCCTGCTGACTTGTAAAACCCTTTCGCTATCAGAATGGTACCACTGATGTTACATTGCAGTTATCAGTGAGTAGTGCCCAGCCACACTCAGCCTGACTTTGTTTATCTCTGAGTCAGATTGAGAATGCTATGCCAACTATATGACGTCATTGTGAGCCATGGCTCTGTGTGGGGGACACCAGTCACTCTCATGCTGCTATTATGATAATGCTGGCTAGGTCCCACTTATATTAAGTGGCCTTAACACCTCCTGACTACCAGGAAAAAAAATTGTGAATTAGAGGACATCGGGACTGTTTTTTACATTTTTTTATAAAAAGACATGAATAGACATGAAAAGGCAAAAACAGTGGGATTTTTGTTTACATCACAAATCAATTTTCATTTTTTATACCAAACCTTATATAAAGATGATTCTCAACTATGTTATGAAAGATATTTTTAAAACACATTTTTCTTTATGAAAAATTTGTGTAAAATGGCCATAAACGAGTTTTTCCATTATATACAATGTATCTATAAACTATCTAATTTGCATATTAATGTGTTTTTGGGGCAACATAGAATGAACAAATAAGTGCAATAATGGGAGTAATAATTAGCAAGAGTTTCATAATAATATCTAATATTTAATAGGAATATTGATACATAATTTTTTCTCTATTCATTTGTTGTGTCTCCCAAAATGTGTAATAAACACGCTTTAAGTCCTGGTGTCCTCTACAGTGGACATGTATGAAATCAATGTCCTGTTTCATAACAGAACGTTATATTTTGATTTCAACCCCCATAACATTTTCCTGAGATATTGATTTATGACAAACAATTAGAAAATTAGTCAGATTTAAATGATAATTACAAAATATTATCATATTTCCATAAGGGTGTAACACTTGATAACTAAATTAATGTCAGCCATTTTTAAAGACCAAGGAGTGGGAGTGGTCATGGTGAAACATCCAATTATTTGGTATCTCTGAAAAGCCCTGAATGTGCTCTGTACAGGACATCCAGACTTAAAAATCTGACATGTAACGTTTCAGAGAAATCGCTAAAAAATTATGTCCTCTACAGAGGACAAAACTCCATAGCTGGTATGTACTTACATCAAAAAATAAGTACAATGTACTTATTGTGTTGATATTGATTTGCAAAACACTTCTGCTGCTATTGAGGTGGGATACGGGTAAGGTTAAGGACAGGTTTGGTGTATGGGTGGGTTCAAGGGTTGGTTAAGGTGGAAGGGATGGGTCAACAGTGTAACTATAAATGTTATTACAGAAACTAATTACAGATGTAATTGCATGCAGGTACTTTTTTTTTTAATACAAGTACAATGTAAAATCATGTATGTATGCAATAAGTGTATTGTATCAAATATTAATTTGAATGTAAGTACATAGTAGTTAAGGCCACCTAATATAAAGTGGGACCGCTGGCTCATTATATATAATTTGTTTTAAAAAAATTAATCCCTTCTGTAGAATGATGTCAAGCTAAGTGTTCATCAGGTGTGTCTCTAATCTGGTCTTTTCAAAATTCTGGCAGTGAATGTGAAATTGTTGGTAGGTACTATAAAAGCGCGTTCATGTGTTTGCGCTAGTTAAGTTTTGCTGTTTTTGAGTGGTCTGAAGGGTGAGAGAAGGAAAGGACACAGTCAGCCTCTAAGGCATGTTGTCAGGGGCTTCCAAACAACAAGCTGATTGGCTGATTGGACAGCATTCTGTCATTAATTGGTGATGTGTTTTACTTTCTGTAGTAATGATGTCATCGGTAGCCAATCAAAGTGCCATGGTGACTGTGATTGGTGTGATCCGATTGGCTATTCAGTTGAAAATAAGATGGGGTTGGGTTTCTCATCATCCAAGACTGATGTTCACTCTGAGCTTTTGCAAAATGAGTCTGCTCTTCCAAATCGATGATCAAAACGACAATAGCGAGGAACAGTGCTCTCAAAACAGCGATACAATCCTCATTGGCATTTTAGGCTTCTATCCTGTTATTCTGTCTTTATTACCCCAAGACTGCAGCATACAGTGTTGAATTGTAGCTTAATGTCGTTGTCTTGTACTGTGGAGAAGTGAGGGGATTTCCTCATCGCTCGAGGCTATAACAGTGTACTTTAAAACAGAGCATCCATATCTGGTCCTTCGAAAGAATAAACAAAACATATTCTTGCCATGAAAATTGATATTGACCTCTCTGTCCCCCAAATGTATGTTTTTCTTCTGATCTCTTTATTTTAGGTTTATTTATAAGCCAGTTGTTAGTAAGGACAGGTTTGGTGTATGGGTGGGTTCAAGGGTTGGTTAAGGTGGAAGGGATGGGTCAACAGTGTAACTATAAATGTTATTACAGAAACTAATTACAGATGTAATTGCATGCAGGTACTTTTTTTTTTAATACAAGTACAATGTAAAATCATGTATGTATGCAATAAGTGTATTGTATCAAATATTAATTTGAATGTAAGTACATAGTAGTTAAGGCCACCTAATATAAAGTGGGACCGCTGGCTCATTATATATAATTTGTTTTAAAAAAATTAATCCCTTCTGTAGAATGATGTCAAGCTAAGTGTTCATCAGGTGTGTCTCTAATCTGGTCTTTTCAAAATTCTGGCAGTGAATGTGAAATTGTTGGTAGGTACTATAAAAGCGCGTTCATGTGTTTGCGCTAGTTAAGTTTTGCTGTTTTTGAGTGGTCTGAAGGGTGAGAGAAGGAAAGGACACAGTCAGCCTCTAAGGCATGTTGTCAGGGGCTTCCAAACAACAAGCTGATTGGCTGATTGGACAGCATTCTGTCATTAATTGGTGATGTGTTTTACTTTCTGTAGTAATGATGTCATCGGTAGCCAATCAAAGTGCCA